ATATTTATGTAACTCACTTTCACTACACAGCCTGTGCCTTTTCTGTGCTATCCAATGTGTTCATGCTGCCATGCTGTGAATAGGATGAAGAGCTCATCTGGCTGTCCTACCTCCCCTTCCCCTCCTCTCTCCTCCCCTCCCATCTGGCATATTTTCAGATAATATCTGACTTAAACAGCTAAACTGACAAAACATAGGAAACAATCTAGCGTATTTTTAAGCACGCCTCTTGCACCCATTTATTATGAGAACTGATCATTTAGTGAAAGCTAAAAGTTAAAATTGCATTTAATCACTTGAGTGCGTCTTCCGTGTGTCAGGCCCAACTTCACACCCCTGTCAGAGCAGAACTCTGCTGTTGTGTCCTGAGCAAGGTCTGTAGGTGATGGTCTCTCCTATCAGCCTTGTTGACACAGCTCATGCTAGTGTGCTGCCTTCTCAGTTACTGCTTAGCCAGGACTTTAAAGGTACAATCAGACAAAATAGTGAAAAGAAATGGGAAATCTCCCATTCACTTCCATTTCCTCCCCCCTAGTAACCAGCCTTCCTCAAACATCAACTTCTGACAGTTTGTCTTGAATGAACTGAAAATCTTAATTTTAGGATGAGTACTACATCTATTGAACTTTGTGTACTCTTGTCTTTCTTTAGAATTTAGGGTCTGATCTAAATTCCTTGGAGATGGATGGGAATATTTCTGTGAGCATTTATTGGTTTTGAATCCAATCTAGTATTGTTATTTTTCATCATTTATTCCAGTTAGTTTTGCATTTGTTTTCAGCCAAAGAATAATCAATAACTAGGCACATTTTATTAAGTGTTAGAATGATGGATGGCTTTTCTGTTCTAAAACAGTTATTCTGAGAAAAGGAAAAACCTTTGCTGCAGAAAAAATACCAGAGTTGTAGCCAAAAATATGTATGTCAGTATTGTGCATCGGATTAGCTTCATAAGTTAAGTGAGGTATTGGTACAGTGTAATTTTTTTTCATCATAAAGGGCTGGAGAACTGTTCTGCATAAACTATTAGTTAAGTAATTTTTAGGTGTCTGTTTACTCTTTGTATAACAATGTCTAGTATATGATAAGTGCTTCTGATGTTTACTAATCAATAATTTTGTTGCTGTTTTAGAAAATCACAGGCTGGAATCTTCGTATCAGAACCATTTAATTCTGAAGGTTTTAGTGGTAAGTACGTAATATAAAACAGCTCTTAAGATTATTTGAAAAGATAACTTGTCATGTGTTTTGTTAGTGCTTTCCTAGCATTAGCTCACTGACCTACAGTTTAGTTTAAGGCCAAATACTAGCACAAATATCAAAGTAAACAGGATTTCTGTTGTGGTTGCAGTAGCTGCTAGACTGTTTTAGATGCCTCTTTTTATAGTGGAGAGTTGGGTTTTTATTTGTATTGATTTGTTCTTTCATTAGGATTCTGTATGTGTAAGTTATTTTGTTAATTGATGTGGTCCTGTCCTCAACTGGGAACTATTCCTTTAACTTTTTTCAAGACTTTATGGTAAATTGTATTTTAAAAAGTTCATGTATTAACTTCCACCTGTACTAACATCCAGACAACCAGTCAGAAAAGGCTGGAGATAGACGTCCATCAGTCTGCTCCTATGCCCTTTATAGTATATACTGAACTACTTACTTTGTGGTTCTTAACAAGTAGCTTTTGTATGTGTAAGTATATATATATGTTTGGTTGCTCTTTTAGGTGTGTATTCAGATGCAACACTGTGTAAATCTTGGATTTTCATATAAGATGTTCAGTAAAAGCAGTTGTAAAGATTGGCTTATTTTGAGACTTAATCTTCTTGTTTCCTTTTTGAAAAGATTGTTTAAGTCTCTTCCAGAGTTCTCTTTTTTTTTTTGTTTCCTCAGCATACTTTTTTTAAAAAATCTGCTTTTTAGCCCTCTATTACTGTTAAAAACTCTTGTACATATAATTTATAGCTTTGTCTCTGCCTTTCTCAAAAAATAGGACCATCTCTTTTTCCCCATATGAAATTTATATACAATAATTTCAAAAATTATGAAATATCAAGTGTAAGTCCCTCTCAATTTTCACTTTCACCCTATGAGTAACTCTCTGCGCTCCCAGTATTATCTATGTTGTCAGTGAGCTCCAGAAAAGGAGCTCCAGCACTGTAGGAAACTTCTGAGCTTGATTATGATTTTTCAGATACAATACTCTGATTATGTCTCAATTTAGAAGTGGAGAATATTTCTCTTGGTCATAAAACATCTTGAAGTGATTAAACATAAAGGTCAACTAAAATATTCAGGAACAATTGTACATATTGAGAGATATGTAATCCAGAACATGTATTTTGATAAAGTATTTATTTGAATAAAAAATCATTACCCTAAATTAAGATAAATACTTCCCTTCTATTGTGTTACCTATGGGGAAACTGCCAAAAGATGAAAGTAGAAGGTGACATGTTTTTAATGTCCATGGTTCATAATTGAATTGTAGTTCTCTTTGTATACCACGTTTTAGGAAAGCATTAAGCTTGTCAGATGAAAACCTGAATAAGACCAGTATTGAAAATGAGGCTTTTCTGACCTAAGTTTTAAAAATGGCAAAGAAAATTTTAATGAACTGTTTACATCTGCATGGAAGCTACTTAGTCAAGGTAGCTGTTAAGTTAGATGATATTTTGCATTTGAACTTTTGCTTGAGTACTAATAACATATATTTTTATTTGCAGTTCAACTTCTTAAATTGTTTTGCATCTCTCTTCTACATTGCCTTTGTGCTGTTTGATATGAAGCTTTTGAGGCAGGTGAGTTCCAAGAACATCTTAAGAATGTTGATTACTCTAGGAAAATAAAGGATTGATTGAAACAAAACTTTAGTTTTAATTGTTTTTTCTAAAATGTTAACTTGACAATGAATGCATTCCATATATATTTTCTTACAAATCCAGCTTCCATATTTCAGTTATTCTAGCACAGTTTCAGAATCATAACAGAGTGGAGCAATTCTTTCCCTCCATATAAATGAGGAACCGTTTTCAAATAAATTGATTATTCCCTCACAGAGATGAGGCTGGAAAATTTTCATTTCCTCCTTCTTTCCCTTTGTGTTAGAAAATGTTTTTCTCTGTAGTGTTCTTAAGGAGAGACTCTTGAGGACAGGAGCATGATTAAGTTTATGACTACAATGAGGAGCTGAGAATAAATAAAAGCAAAATAATTTGTAGTTGGCATTTTAAATTAGCTTTCTGTTGACATCTTTCGCACTCAAATGCATGAATATCAGTTATAAGGACAAATTTTTACTCTAAAGAAAATGAAAAAAACAACAAGAACTGCAGCTCAAGATCTCTGTTCCTCGAAAGAGATCTCTAGCAAAACACTTGACATATCTATACCAGACATGACATTTGTGTCATTTCCTATAGTTTAAGGTAAAAAACAAGAAGACAACAAATAGAAAAAAAATTCATTCTTTAGTTCTGTCACTGCTGTTGGCATATGTTAAGGGTGTATCTTTACCCTTCATTGGACTTTATGTACTGTCTCCAAGATACATCCAGATCCACAAAATATTTAGACATCTAACTCTTATTTTATCCTTTTCAGCACATAGCAAAGAACAGGAACTAGCCCACCTATACTTTTCATATGCTATTGCTAGTTCTGTTAGGCTGGCCTTCTTTTGTCACAGTGTAACAACTTACAGTGTTAACCAGAATGCACAAAGTTGGAAATGATTGCAGGTTTATCACAGTTCTTTTAATTCTTTCTTTCTTTTTTTTTTTTTTTTTTTTTTTTTTTATACTTAAGAGCTTGGCCACCTTGCTGATAACTTCACAGATCCTTAATCAGTTTGCAGAATCCTTACTTCCTTACTGGCTCCAAAGGAGACATAAGAAGAGGATGAAGAAACACATGTGTTCTCTGAAAACGGATATGGACCTGTCATTAGTCGAACAAGTCAACTTGGAGAAAGAAATGGGCACCTATTTTGTACGTTTCACTCTTGTAAAAGAGTTGAAAGTTTTCTGGGCTGTAGTTGACTATAGACATCAGCCAGGGCAACCTGAAATATTTCTGACTGTCTGACCTGGCAGCTTATTTCCAACTTTGTCAGTTTTGCTGGTAGTGTTGTTTATACAACTGTTTACACTAGATCAAGAAACGGATACAGTCCGGGATCCCAGTTACACCAGCATGAAGGGGTGGGAATGAACAGCTGAATCTGGAGCTACCTAATCCCATATCACTGGAAGAGGTATTTATGTAATATGCCCTTAATCTTGAAGGGTAGCCTGAAAACTCCCAGGATCAGTAGCCTGGCAGAGGGAAGGGGGAGGCTGTTTCTGTTTTAGTTTGTTTTTGCAGTGATAGTAGTTTAAATTGACAATTAAACTATAGCGTGAGAGAGTGTGCTTATGTCTGGATGGGTCCAGAAATGGAGAGGGCAGAAGACACCAGCTCTTCAAACCAATACTTGCTCTTGCTTCTTGAAACTACAGCTTTGGCATTCGCTGTCTTCCGAGTTCCGTTCCTGACTGCCTCCTACCCAGTACAATTTTTAATTGTATTTAACAGACTTTATGCAATTCATTACTTGCAGTTCTAAAGGAATTGGCAAAGTAGACATCAGTGTGTATGTTAAAGCCTTACAGACTGGCTAACAGCTTGCTTGATCAAATGCTGCGAGCATAGTCACAAGAGTCTTAATAGTGTGTGATTTATACTTTTACAGAAGAAGAATTATGTGTAGGTAGTGTACCTTTTATGTAAAAGGTAGAGAATGGCAGTTTGAAACTTGATATTAATACCATGTCAGATTCCTTTCTTCCTGCATAAAGTGCCTTGAAATGGGAAGAGGAAAATGAGATGCTACCTTTGCAATGGAAAAACTGTGCAAATGTTAATACTTGCGTTCCTCTGGGAAGGTTGGTATTTCCCACATTTTATATGGAAGGGAGCTAGATTTAGAGAACATGTCTATCTTATAAAATAAGAAATCCCTGAGTTAGTGTCTGAACTGGTAAATCAACACAGTCCAGCACTGTGCCTGCCAATAGGCCAGCACAGCTCCAAAAGCTGTATGTCAGCATCAGGTGTTGATAAGCCTGACCAAATAAGCTTTGTCTTAGACCTGAACTGAATTCTGGTTCTCAGTTGGCACATATAAAGCCAGTGTGATGTCTTTGAGTCATGTTGCCCAGTGCTTCCTGTGCAGAGCTGGATCAAATTTATCTGCACCTGTTGTACCGTTCTGCCCTGAAAAATTTTGCACAGGGACTCAACAGGTCAGTTGTAGTTATGACTTTGCCTTGGAGGTGTCTGCTGCTAGCCTCAGTTTCAGTTCAGGGTACTGTGTACTCAAGGCCTTAACTTTATTTTCAGTCTAAAGATTGTAATTGTGCTGTGCTTGTGAATACACGGTATTAGACCACTGATTTGTTTGCAAGCAGTGAGCTGTTAGCAGGCTAGAGTATTTCTAAAATTAAATCTGTCACAAGGGGGAAGCATTTGACTATGTTTAGTAACTGAGTAACTGAGGACTTAAGCAGGAGTCATGACAAAATTATGTGTTTCAGATTCTTCTGTTTTCCTTGCTTCATTTACTCTTTGACATTTAATTATCTTTTTCATTTGTGTCTCTATCACTTTTCATATCTCCAGCCCTTCACCCAGTTTAAGATGTAAAAACGTTCTGCAATATTTTTGGGGTTTTTTTTAAATTTCTGCTTCTTTCCTCTAGTGCATTTTCTCCCTGAATTTCTTTGTTGATTCTGTTTCCTTGATGCCATAGTTCATGTACTGCCCTTGTGGCTGACAGTGGCACACTTTGAAATTTCTTTAATATTGTATCAGGCTCCTGTTTTCCTGCACAAAGTGTCATAAATTGAGTAGGAGAAAAAGAATTACTCCTTTTTTTTTCATGCTCTGCTGTTCTAAAACTCAGTAGGTACTGGGCAGGGAAATGAGAAGAAGGCTGTGAGGAAGCAGTGGGAATACTGTGCAGTTACCAGAAGGAGGAGCACAAAGGGAAGCATTGCTCCCTGCCTGCAAGAGTTGGCTGAGAAAGTGACAGCAGAGATAAATACATGACTGCCACTCCCGTGAGTGATCCTGCACAAATGTCCCTAAGGAAGACCTTACTAAAACTCAGAGTTCATACAAGGTGTTTCTGCAGAAAAATCTCAATGGTTTTAAAAGTTAGGTAGCACCTCATGGTTTGGCCTGCAGATCAGTTTGTCAGACCCAGCTATACTGTGCAACTTGAAAATGAGTTCAAGTGAAAAATGCAGCTAATGACCACCTCATGTTGATTTTTGAGTTTGCAGGCTTCTACTGCCTCTCTCGGTTTGCTAGGGAAAAAAAAAGCACTAGGTGCTGGAGAGGGCAGTCAGTCAACAGCTATAATCAGCAAAAAAGATGAGAGAACCATGTGTCTGCTGCATGGAGCCAAAACCAATTTATGTTGTTCCTGTAATAATCTCAGTTACTGTCAAGTCTTTATCATTTCGTTTTTTGAGGGAGATGACAGTATGTGGGTCTGGGTAAATACAAGATAGCTAGATCCCAGTTTAACTTGTTTGTGGTATTTCACCATCCATTGTTCAGTGAACATGTTTTATTTAAAAATGATTGGTTTGGTTCTTTCATAAATAATTGCTGCAATCATGGGGAACTGTTATTAATACTACAAAACTAATATGCAAATATATATGATAACCTACATGTGAACACTTAATCAGTGTTTTAAGTACCCACATTCTTGGTTTAAAGATCAGGTGGTAGATGTTTTGCAGATTTGTCAAAACAGGGCTTTTTGTTTACGCTAATTGTTCCTTTCAGATGTCAGTGCTGCACTCTTGTCATTTCAATGTTCAAGTGAGCCACTAATTCAGACTTACTCATTTTGAAGTAAACAAGCAGAAGTTCTAGAAAAGAGTTGCCTGTCTACCAGCCTACCTTTCTAGTTAGGTCTTTCGTGAACAATCTTAAATACTAAGACTTTTCTTGTCATAATGCTCTTAGGAGAATGTTCTGCCAATTTAAAAGCATGGTGCTGTTTTCCTATCCCCCACTGTTCCTTCTGTAGCTATTTCACTGAGTTAATCAGGAACTTGGATGGGATGAATGTGTTTATACAATTACTTTGTGTAATAAGGACAAGAAGTGTGACTGTTGCAGAAAATGCATTAGGCATTTCAGGCCTTTTAGGAAGAACCTTGGCCTCCCCTTCTTAAGAAGTTTTGAGTAATTGAATAATTCCAAAGTAACTAGGTGGTGGTTTTTTGTTGGTGTTTTTTTCTGTCACCAGTCATTCCCAAACAACTGATTTGGGATGAGGAAGCATGTTTCCAACTATATTGTTAATTCTGTATTTCCTGATGTGTGGGGTTTTTTTTGGGTTTTCTTTGTGGATTAAGTTGTTCTTATTTTTGCTCTTGTTTTTCAGGGTACTTTTGATGATTACCTGGAGTTATTCTTACAGTTTGGCTATGTGAGTCTTTTCTCGTGTGTTTATCCACTGGCAGCTGTCTTTGCAGTGTTAAACAACATCACAGAGATATATTCTGATGCCTTAAAGATGTGTAGAGTTTACAAGCGTCCATTTGCAGAACCCACAGCAAATATTGGTGTTTGGCAGGTAATTTTTTTTTTCTTTCTTTTTCTATTTGTATGTTTTAAAAGAGATTTCAACAAATGCATTTAAGCTATGTGTTTGGCCCATCAACCACTTTTAAGTTTAGTAGGTACTTTGATCTTGTAAAAGCCTTAGGATAGTATCTGTCCAGCTGTGTATCCAGGGGATTTTTGGTAGGGTTTTTGACCACATGTCTTTCAGCTGCCTTTGAAAGGAAAACAAATCCTTCCTTTAGTCCTTGCATTTGTATGTATTGTACTCCTGTTGCAATGGCAACAAAGCAAAGCTGCCAGATGCTGCCCAGTATTGTTTACAGCCAGCATATTTTAGAAATGGTAACATCTGATGCAATCTCAGAAGTGTGGAGCTCAGCAAGTGTTTCAGAAAAATTGAAGGATGATAGGTAAGGCCTTGGATTCCTAAGCCATGCTTGGTATCGAAGGGCTGTGTGCCCTTGTGATTGCTGGTACTCAAGCTGACTAATTTTAAAATAACCTGGATCTGTGGGCAGGAGCTGGACCTCTCTGCACAGCCTGAACATTGTAGTCTATCTAAATAATTTCATGCTAGTCGTACTGGGTTAAGGATTTTCTGTCTTCAGTTGTTTGCCCATGCAGTCATGCTAGCACCAGCTAGTTAGGAGCTTGCTGAGTACGCTGTGTCAGTGAACTGATTCTGACTAAAAATAACCCTGTAAACTCCAAAACCAGAGGTTTTTCTGAAAAGAGAGAGGGCTATTAAGTCGAGACTTTAGCATTCTATAATAGCAGTGAACTGATAAGGAGTGTGAAGTAGGTTGGAGGAAATTTGAAGGGGATGATCCATATTCTAGTTTTATATAACAACTTTTCTAATGGTACAAAATGGAGACAAAGGGCACAGTAAACTAGTAGACTGTTTAATTTGGAGGGGTTGTAAATGTTGGTAACAAATGGGAGATGAGAAATTAAATCAGGAAATCTCAAATGAAACATACTGTAAAAGCATGCAAATGAAGTATTATGAGCAATGGTCATTAGGCATGTCCATAGGTATTAATGATGTGGACTTATAGGAGAAGTCTTTTAATATTAAATCATTAAAATGTGTAAATTATTATCTGATTATGTTTTAACATTTGGTGCATTTTCTCAGTCCAAATCTGTGCTGTCAACATCTTGATGACATGGCTACAGTGGTGTGACCGCCAGATACATGAGGCTGTGGTCATAAGTCCCAAGTGTAGCTGCAGGTATATTAATAACGTTTGGCTTTGCTAGAATAGTTTGTTTCAATCTAGGGAGTAGGCTGAAAAACTGTAACATTAATGGTACAGTCATGGTTTTGTTTTGTTTTTATAGTGTAGGTTTTTAACTAATAGTAGGCATGCATTTGCTTTGTGAATTAGAAATAATGACTTAAAAAATTAGTTATCTGTTTCATGTGGGAAGTTAGAGCATTGCCTGAAAGATTTCTGTTAAAGGAATACTGCAATTATTTTATCAGGAGAGCTGAGTCACCAGCTTGTTGGCAAGGAGAAAGTTACTTCTGCTAATTCATTGTGCCAATTGCTACAATTCAACCTCAGTCTTTCTCATTACAGAGAGGACCTTGGAATAAGTAACTATTATATTGCAAAAGTAATTGTCACACTATAGTAATATTTTCAGATGTTTTGTGGGAGCTCTCTAGTCAAGAGCTTCTTAGGCTTGTGCCATTGCATGCAGTTAAATGTAAATCTTTCTTTCAACAAATTTCAGCTTGTATAACTGGTTGTGATTTTAAAAAAGCATTCTGAACCATTGCTACATTTTCCTTAACATAAATGTTACTTAACATTCAGTCAAAACCTCCAAAACCAGAGAGTTCAAACTATTAGTTTCTCTAGGAATTTTGCATTTTTTCCTTTATCCTGAACGAAATTTATGCTCAGGAGTACAGCTGTAGATCAGTGCATACTCTTTTAGGTGTTCAGGTTCAGAAGAAAAACTCAGGATTGCCATGTGGTCTTTATGGTATTGCAGACCTTGTTGTGGTCTTGTCCTTGCCTGTTCTTAAAGCTGGCAAAATCTGGACTACTTGCCAAACAAGTATTATGTTGTAGAACTCAAATGATGAAGGAAAATAAAAAGTTAAAATAATGGGTCTTCTGAGGATTTAACAAAGAGAGAGGTATTGTCTGGAGCAGTTTGGGGACTGGTGAATTAGAGATAATGGTCATAACTATAAATATATTTGTGTTTTATTTCAGTTGGCTTTTGAAACCATGAGTGTAATATCAGTTGTTACTAATTGCATACTGATTGGAATGTCTCCACAAGTGGATGCCCTTTTCCCAGACTCAAAAATGGATCTTATTCTGACTGTGGCATTGGCAGAGGTAAGTTTGTCTTCAAACAGTGCTTGTCTTTTAGTAGCAAATAACAAGAACAACCGTGGAAATGATACCATGAAGTAGACTTCTCCCTCCCCTTGTATTAAAAGCAAATGAAGATTTCCCTATCAAAGTCTTGCTTTTTGATTTTGTTCTTTTCTGTGTTTTAATGTACTGTGAATGTTGTTGTCAGACTTTTCCATACATTCCCAAGATATCGTGTATTTGTTGCTTCATGTATTTCAAGAATATAATAGTGCTATTTCAAGAAGCAAAATAATCCCATTTTTGTGGACTGGTTATTTCTCTACTTGGTTTGTGACCCCAGCATGTCTAATAAAGACCTCCTACGTAATCTTTATGGATGTTTCCTGTAAGGCTTATCTGAAACAAGTGTGTTTGGTGACTATAAATGCCAGTGATTCTAACAGCACTTGGGTTTCATCTTTTCCCAATTCTACGTAGTAAACACTTGAGTGCCATTCCTTTTCAGATGAGGAGGGATGAATATGGGCTCTATATGGTGGTCTCTGTATAATAACTGAGATTGTAGGACTTTGCCCTCATGTATCTTTTTTACGGAGCTTTCTTGTATGACATTGCCTCGATCATCACCATGCTATTTGAGCTTTTAGAAACTGGATTACTTTTCTTGTGGGGAAAAAGTCTGGGTTGTCAGTGTGTAGCTGTTAAGCTGCATCACCACATACTTCTTTGTTGTTTTTACAGGCGTTAAGCATTACACAATGAGTTATGAGCTTGCTTTGAGTTTAAGCTTTAAGGTTTGCAGAGTTAACTATAAATATGAATCATGTCAACTATTTACTGAAGTTTGAGTCTACAGAAAGCCTGATATATTCTTCTGTCATGCATGTGTGAACATTTGCATTAACCTCAGTGAGGTATTTTAGTATAAAACTAATTTTGCAATTTAAATGTAATGCTATAGTTCATTACTGGGCACCATATCCAGAGAGATCATGTTATGAAAACTGTATGACAAAATGTAAGCAGAACGGATTTATGACAGCTTAAAGAGATGGAAGTATTTTTGCCTTTGATTCCTGGGTATATATTCTCATTTTATCTGCTTTAATATGAAGCTGGCTACGTGGTCTCTAGGCAGACCTCTGTTTTTCAGTAGGCTATAGGAGAACACCAATATTTTTCTCTCTAAATTTAAATTCTGCTTATATGCAGTCCTTTAGATGTCAGGAATTGTAGCATGGTAATTAGGTAGGAATTCCTTTCTAACGTTGTATCTCAATTTATCTATAAATGGTGTGGGAAGGGAGATTAAGAAAACAAAGAGAAGAAAGTTTGAAGAGAAAAGGTAAATTAGTGCTGAGGGGAGGAAAGAAAAAAATGTTGTCTTATACCAAGAAGCAACTTCGGCAAAGTACTGATCTATAGTTAACAATATTGTATGAAGGGACTGATGGAGGCTAATGTTGGATGAGACAAAGGAGAAGGAAGGCAACAGTTTGGTTAAAGAAAAATCATCTTTTCTCATATTGTTCTTCTTAGTGAAAAAACCTCCAAAACAACCCATAATGTACTTGTCAGAAAAGGTATATATAAAAAATAGTTTTAATCACAAGTATCCAGTATTCTTGATACTTTTAAGTATGCTGGTCTGAATTTTTGTTTTGGCTGGTTTTGTGTTATTACAAACTATTTATTGTCTGAGAAAACACAAAGAGACAAAACGAACATAGAAGTCTTATAGTACTTTTCTGCAACGTAAGGAGCCGTGTGATTTTTGGAATGTTGTTGGTTATAAACAATTCCAAAACTGTTCAATGTGAAATTTAAAACTTTTGCAGTCTCCTGAGGGACAGTCTTTCAGTAAATTTAAACAATATTTAACAACTTTCATAGGTGTGGGTTTGGTTTTTTTTTTTTTTTTTAAACAGTCAGAGAATAGCTCAGGTCATATAATCTTGCAAGAAGTTTTGTAACACAAGTTATGAAGTTTCTGAGGTCCAAAAGAGTTCTACAAAGTGAAACATGTTTTATATGTAAATTTTATTAAAAAACTATATGAAAATGAATACAGCAAACATAATTTTCACTTATGTTGAAGATTAGTTTCCATTGTGTTGACAGTTACAGAAATTATTTTTTTATCAGTAGTTATGTTGTACATATTTCAGGTTAAAACATTGATTACAAAAGGTAGAAAAAAGGGAGGATTACTAGATTCTGTGGGACTATGAACAGTAGCAGTATGGATTTATGGCAGCTTAAAGAGATGGGGCTATTTTTGCCTTTGCTTCCTGGGTATTTATTTCCATATTATCTGTTACACTGGCACTTTCTTTTATCTGGTGCTTGATGAATCAGATTAGGGAATTGATCTGGGGGAAGCTGTCTGACCTAGTTCACTGCAGAAGCAATTATGTGTGGAAGATGCACAGTAGTGCTGTAGTTTTGTGCTGGATTAAATGTGTGGGACTTCTGCACCACTGAGTCTTTCTCCTGTAAGTATTACTTCATCTGCAGGAAGATCCCTAAGCTATGAGAGGAGCACAAATCTCATGTATTGGCAGTATTCCCATGCACCTTTATTGTATTTATTAATTATTAAATTGCGCATTTCAGCTGTAAAGAAAAATTAAGGAATAGAGTATGTCACATTAAACCTTTAGGATAAACCTGGTGCATCTAAAGTACATCATTGTCAAGGTAGGAAACAATTCTTTGGCTGTGACAAGGTGTTGTTAGAAAAACATTTTAGATCACGTAGTAGAGATTCAGAAACGCGATACAGGTGCGTTACTTTACTTTCTGGTGTTTGTTGCAGGTGAAGATGAGAATTTAATGGTGTGTTTATGCTATTCTGACAGCAGCTTGGCAGACTGTGAGGATGTTCAGGAACACAAGAAATTTCTTTTAGTAGGCTATATATGCTTTCACATGTTCAATTGATGTGGTTACCTGCTTAAATCTTAGCTGTCATTAAATATTTTTATCAGGTTTCAGTAATTGAGACTCTGATTGAATATTTCTATATCTGTCTGAAGCAAAGCTAAACAGAAAAAAGCACTTCTTACCAAAGCCAAGCACAAGTATTAGCAATGTCTTGATTTATTTTTTTTCCCCAAAAAATGTTAATACTTTTTAATAGTAATACTAATAGTCTTCAAATGGAAACATGTTTATGTGGCAACATTTGACATCACTCAGTACAGATGTAGTGAAGAACTGTGTGTGATATCTGTGCACAGCCCCTACAGATTTATGCAAAAAAATTTATTTTTCATTAACAACACTAACTCCACAGCTGTCTGCACTTTTGTTGGGAATACATATTGTATCAGCAAAGTAAATGCTAATTAAATATAATAAAACATTAAACATTTTATAATAAATAATGAGAACCATTAAAATAATAACAATATTTAATAATATTTTAAAGTATTAAAACAGTGGGGTTTTGTTTTGTTTTGTTTTGAACAGTTGACCTATTTTCATCAATCCAACATCTGCTTCCATAGCAACATGGTTTGAACCAGGAGCAGAATTGTGAAACTCTCCTCTTTTACTTACGGATGAATACTAACTGAGTGCAGCAAGTGCAGTTTTCAAACAAAAAGAAGTAGGTGAATATCCTTAAACCAGGAAACAATAAGCCCTTATTAACATAATTTTAAAATAGCTATATCCCATTGTGTGTTTAGTTCTTCAGGCTTTACCATAGACACATATTCCTGGTATGGAGCACAGGTGCAAAGTAGGACATTCCAAGAAGCATCTGTTCTTGTGTGAAACTGTTCCAAATCACCTCTGACCTTACATGGATTTGAAAACAAAAAAAAGAAAAAGAGGAAATTACTCTGAAGAAATTTGGTGAACAGTTTGAGGAGGGTTAAAACAAGGTATAACCTTAATTCTGCAGTGCTTTTTTATTTTTCTTTGAAAATTGTTGACAGAGTTTTGTTCCTGATGATTCCCAATGACTATTTCTTTTTAATGTAGACTCTCTCATAAATTCAAAGAATGTTAATTAAATCAGTTTCAGGACTACTCTGAAAATTGAGTCCCAGAAATCAGTTGTATGTACAACTTTTAGTATTGATTTTTTTTAAAAAAAACAGTACATCAGTAGAGATGTTTTGAAGCAATAGCTGCAAAAGTACAGCTCCTCATCTCCAGAAGTAACTGGTATATCCAGCACTCAAATGTAGCAAACTAATGGAAAGCTTTTATGCAGAGGTGCACTTAGTTTGGATATTTTACCTGACATTGAAGCATCTGGGGATTGGCTTGGAAATACTAAGTAGTGATGAAGGGTCCTTTTGATAGTTGCAGTGTAAAATCTGAGCATACAATCTACAAATACAATTTTTGGGAAGAATGTAATGAGCTCTTGTATAGATGAAAATGAGGGCCTTAGCATAAGGACAGGACTTAAACAATTGGGCTGTGTGGATTTGATTTCATGGAGTCCTCATAAGTATTTGAAATAGATCTTAATGAGCTTCATATATATATATATATACGTGTGTGTGTGTGTATATATATATATATATACACGTGTGTGTGTGTGTGTGTATATATATATATATATATTTAAAAGTCAGTTCTGTAAGAGGTTTGGTTGGAGTGGAATAAGGAAAGTAACCCTTTCTTGAGCTTTGTTTTTTCTGGGTGAGGAGGAGCTGACAGTCCATTTATCAAAGCCTGGGAAGCAGGAATCATAGCTTTTTAATAAAGCTGAAAAGGTAGAGGCGTTATAGCTGATCCAAAATCAAAGTGGTTGAGAGTTGCCTGGTACATCTGCTTTTCTCTAGAGTTCCATTATAGTAAGTGTATTTCTTCATCAAAGGCCTCCTGGTGTATAGAAAAAGCTCTTTCAGCTTCTGCTGAGCATTCTTAATGTAATGGCCCCAACACTCAGTAAGCTCAGCAGTAAACTTGAAAGTTGTTTCTGAAACGGTGTGCCAAAGAAACTGGGAAACACTACCAGAGCTGAGCAGTTTGGATTCTAGTAGATGAGAAGG